CTCAGCCTTCCAACATGTGCCACTGCGCTGGGCTAATTTTTGTATTTTTAGTAGAGATGGGGTTTCACCATGTTGGCCAGCCTGGTCTCGAACTCCTAACCTGGTGATCTGCCAGACTCAGCCTCCCAAAGCGCTGGTATTACAGGTGTGAGCCACTGTACTCGGCCTTATATGTGGGTTTTATTTTTTTTAAACCATTTGGACATAAGTGGGGGGACATACTATGGACTCTTCAACACCTTGCTTTTTTTTACTTATCAGTTACAGATCTTGGGGAGAAATCCATTTTAGCAAAAAATATATCTACTGTATTCTTGCTTTTTTTTTTTTGAGACGGAGTTTCACTCTTGTTACCCAGGCTGGAGTGCAATGGCACGATCTCGGCTCACCGTAACCTCCGCCTCCTGGGCTCAGGCAATTCTCCTGCCTCAGCCTCCTAAGTAGCTGGGATTACAGGCACGCACCACCATGCCCAGCTAACTTTTTGTATTTTTAGTAGAGACGGGGTTTCACCTTGTTGACCAGGATGGTCTCGATCTCTCGACCTCGTGATCCACCCGCCTCGGCCTCCCAAAGTGTTGGGATTACAGGCTTGAGCCACCGTGCCCGGCCGTATTCTTGCTTTTTAATTTTTTTTTTTTTTTTTTTTTTTGAGATTTTTTTTTTTGAGTTTTGCTCTTGTTGACCAGGCTAAGCGCAATGGCACCATCTTGGCTCGCCAAAACCTCCACCTCCCAGGTTCAAGCGATTCTCCTGCCTCAGCCTCCCGAGTAGCTGGAATTACAGGCATGTGCCACCATGTCCAACTAATTTTTGTATTTTTAGTAGAGACAGGGTTTCACCATGTTGGCCAGACTGGCCTCAAACTCCTGACCTCGTGATCCACCCACCTTGACCTCCCAAAGTGCTGGGATTGCAAGCATGAGCCACCGTGCCTGGCCTGCGTTTTAATTTTTTAAACTTGCAAAAGAATTGCAAGAATAGTGCTCTTTAGTGGACCTTCATTCATTCACCAACTGCTGGCAGGCAGGTGCACTGGCTTTACAGTATGTGCTTTACCACTCCTCTTTCTTCCCATCCTCGTGTCCCTGTGTGTCCCTTCCTAAACCGTTTGAAAACAGGTTGCATATATTATGCGCCTGCACCCTGAAAAATTTCACTGTGTATTTTCTAAGAACAAGGGCATCTCCTTGCATAAACACACTACAATTTTCTCAAATTCAGAAGATTCAACTTTAATAGAAAAAGCTATCTGCATATTATCCGTATTCAAATTTCATAATTTGTTCCCATAATGTTTTATGCCAATTTTTTTTCTAATCTGAGATTCAGTCCAGATAGATGTGGCTCCTGAATAAAAATGAAAGCCCTCCCTCCCTAGGGTGAAAAACATTCCCTCAGGGCTCCTAGAAGTCGTGTAGTCACTGGGAAGGAGGAATGAGTGCCCAAAGGTTGCTGTAGTGTCCACTAACTCAGTGGAGGTAAATCTTTTGTGCACGTGTGTGTGTGTGTGTGTGTGTGTGTAATGTATACATACACAAGAGGAACTGAGTGATGGAGGAAGGGAGAGGTTATATGTACAGTTCATTCTCTGGAGCCATTTTTTTTTTTTTTTTTTTTTCTGAGATGGAGTCTCACTCTGTCACCCAGGCTGGAGTGCAGTGGCACAATCTCGGCTCACTGCAACCTCTGCCTCCTGGGTTCAAGTAATTCTCCCACCTCGGCCTCCTGAATAGCTGGGATTGCAGGTATCCGCCACCGTGCCCATCTAATTTTTATATTTTTAGTAGAGATGGGGTTTCACCATGTTGGCCAGACTGGTCTCAAACTGCTGACCTCGTGATCCACCCGCCTTGGCCTCTCAAACTGCTGGGATTACAGGCGTGAACCACCATGCCCCGCTCTGGAGCCTAATCTTTTTTTTTTTTTTTTTTTTGGAATGGTCATTTCTTTTTATTTTTAATTAATTAATTAATTAATTAATTAATTATACTTTAGGTGCATACTGTACCTGGCATTTCTTCCCATGTTGTCCCTCTCCACCTTCCCCTCCCTCCCCACCCCCTGCTGTCTCTCCCCTAACCTAACACCCCCAACTGCTCCCAGTGTGTGATGCTCCTCTCTGAGTCTACATGTTCTCATTGTTCAACACCCACCTATGAATGAGAACATGCGGTGTTTGGCTTTCTGTTCTTGTGTGAGTTTGCTGAGGATGATGGTTTCCAGATTCATCCAAATCCCTACAAAGGACACAAACTCATCGTTTTTTATGGCTGCATAGTATTCCATGGTGTATATATAACATATTTTCTTTGTTCAGTCTATCATTGATGGGCATTTGGGTTGGTTCCAGGTCTTTGCTATTGTACATAGGGCTGCAATGAATATATGTGTGCATGTGTCTTTATAGTAAAATGATTTATAGTTCTTTGGGTATATATCCAGTAATGGGATTGCTGGGTCAAATGGAATTTCGATTTCTAGATCCTTGACGAATCACCACACAGTCTTCCACAATGTTTGAACTAATTTACACTCCCACTAACTGTGTAAGAGTGTTCCTATTTCTCCACATCTCTCCAGCATCTGTTGTCTCCAGATTTTTTTTATGATCACCATTCTAACTGGCGTGAGATGGTATCTCAATGTGATTTTGATTTGCATTTCTCTAATGACCAGTGCTGATGAGCATTTTTTCATATGTTTGTTGGCCTCATATATGTCTTCTTTTGAAAAGTGTCTATTCATATCATTCACCCACTTTTGTATGGGGTTGTTTTTTTCTTGTATATCTATTTTAGTTCTTTGTAGATTCTGGATATTAGCCCTTTGTCAGATGGGTAGATTGTAAAAATTTTTTCCCATTCTGTTGGTTAATAATTCGCTCTAATCATGATTTATTTTGCTGTACAGAGCTCTGAATTTTAATTAGATCCCATTTGTCTATCTTGGCTTTTATTGCTATTGCTTTTGGTGTTTTAGTCATGAAGTCTTTGCCTATGCCTATGTCCTGAATGATTTTGCCTACATTTTCTTCTAGTGTTTTTATGGTGTTAGGTTTTATGTTTAAATCTTTAGTCCATCTGAAGTTAATTTAAGTGTAAGGTGACAGGTAGGGGTCCAGTTTCTGCTTTCTGCACATTGCTAGCCAGTTTTCCCAACACCATTTATTAAACAGGGAATCCTTTCCCCATTGCTTGTTTTTGGTAGGTTTGTCAAAGATCAGATGGTTGTAGATGTGTGGTGTTGCTTCTGGAGCCTCTGTTCTGTTCCATTGGTCTATGCCTCTGCTTTGGTACCAGTATCATGCTGTTTTGATTACTGTAGTCTTGTAGTATAGTTTGAAGGCCAGTAGTGTGATGCCTCCAGCTTTGTTCTTTTTGCTTAGGATTGTCTTGGCTATGTGGGCTCTCTTGTGATTCCATATGAAGTTTAAAATGTTTTTTTCCAGTTCTAAAGAACTGGAAAAAAAGTCATTGGTAGCTTGAAGAAGGTCATTGGTAGCTTGATGGGGATAGCATTGAATCTATAGATTACTTGGGGCAGTGTGGCCATTTTCACAATATTAATTCTTCCTAACCATGAGCATGGAATGTTTTTCCATTTGTTTGTGTCCTCTCTTATTTTGTTGAGTAGTGGTCTGTAGTTCTCCTTGAAGAGGTCCTTTATATCCTTTGTTAGTTGTAGCAATTGTGAATGGGAGTTCGTTCTTGATTTGGCTGTTTGTCTGTTATTGGTATATAGCAGGCGTCCCCAAACTTTTTACACAGGGGGCCAGTTCACTGTCCCTTAGACCGTTGGAGGGCCACCACATACTGTGCTTCTCTCACTGACCACCAATGAAAGAGGTGCCCCTTCCTGAAGTGCAGTGGGGGTGGGGGGGCAGATAAATGGCCTCAGGGGGCTGCATGCAGCCTGCAGGCCGTAGTTTGGGGACGCCTGGTATATAGGAATTCTTGTGATTTCTGCACATTGATTTTGTATCCTGAGACTTTACTGAGGTTGCTTATCAATTTGAGATTTTGGGCTGAGACAATGGGGTCTTCTAAATATACAATCATGTCATCTGCAAATAGAGACAGTTTGACTCCCTCCTTTCCTGATTGAATACCCTTTATTTCTTTTTCTTGCCTGATTGCTCTGGCTAGAACTTCCAATACTATATTGAATAGGAGTGGTGAGAGAGGGCATCCTTGTCTAGTGCCTGATTTCAAGGGGAATTCTTCCAGCTTTCACCCATTCAGTATGATATTGGCTGTAGGTTTGTCATATATAGCTTTTATCATTTTATGATACATTCTGTCAATACCTAGTTATTGAGTTTTTACCATGAAGGGCTGTTGAATTTTGTCAAAAGCCTTCTCTGCATCTATTGAGATAATCATGTGGTTTTTGTCTTTGGTTCCATTTATGTGATGGATTACATATTTCAGACAACCAAGTAACAGTATCTCATGGCAACATGCTAGAATCTTGAAGGTGAATGGAAAGGATTATGATGTATGGAAATTCCAAGTTGGAGTGGTGCCTGATACAGGTGAAAATCATTTTGCAGCTCTGGAAGAGGGAGGAGCATATCAATTGTTTAAAACAAAAAGCCAGCGTTAACAGGCTCAGAGAAATGAAGTTGAAAGGAACAGATGTAGCTTCTGAATAGAAGTGAAAATTCGGCCGGGCGCGGTGGCTCAAGCCTGTAATCCCAGCACTTTGGGAGGCCGAGGTGGGTGGATCACGAGGTCGAGAGATCGAGACCATCCCGGTCAACATGGTGAAACCCCGTCCCTACTAAAAATACAAAAAATTAGCTGGGCATGGTGGCGCGTGCCTGTAATCCCAGCTACTCAGGAGGCTGAGGCAGGAGAATTGCCTGAACCCAGGAGGCGGAGGTTGCGGTGAGCCGAGATCGCGCCATTGCACTCCAGCCTGGGTAACAAGAGCGAAACTCCGTCTCAAAAAAAAAAAAAAAAAAGAAGTGAAAATTCAATGTAGTTTCCATTAAAATGACTTCCCAGTGGTCTCCTCCTGCAGATGACTTCAGTATCTACTATGTCCTGTGAGCTTTGACCTATTACAGCTTTCTAGATAAGCACAGCGGTGGGGAGGAGTCATGCTCTGCGGAACTGGGGGACACATGCTGCATTCAGAAGGGTTCTCCCAAGTGTGACCCATGGGAGGTCCCCCCAAAAGAAGGGAAGATTGTACCTAACATTTTGGCAATAAATACACATCCTTCCTGAAAGGTGACAGCCTATGACCTCCTGTAATATCAGTGAGTAAAAGTGAAAATGGCCGGGCACGGTGGCTCGCCTGTAATCCCAGCACTTCGGGAAGCAGAGGCGGATGGATCACGAGGTCGAGAGGACGAGACCAGCCTAACCAACATGGTGAAACTCTGTCTCTACTAAAAATGCAAAAAAAATTAGCCAGGCATGATGGCATGCACCTGTAATCCCAGCTACTCGGGAGGCTGAGGAAGGAGAATTGCCTGAATCAGGAAGATGGAGGTTGCAGTGAGCCGAGATCACGCCACTGCACTCCAGCCTGGGTGACAGAAGAAGACTCCTTCTCAGAAAAAAAAAAAAAAAGTGAAAATGACCATTTTTGTAACAGTGAACACATTTCAAACTGGCATAACTGTACTTAAAAGTATGCATGAGGGGAGGTCACTGTCTCATGGAGCCCCAACTTTAGATACAATATGTGGAAAGAAAAATTCAAGAGGACAAAGATACCGGGCTTCCTGGCACAATACAAAAAATTACAAAAGGAAGCTCTGTGCAGGGAAAGGAGGTCCCCTTCAGAACCCTCAGCGTTCTCTCTGTGTAGGCAGGTCTGGCCGATTCACGTGAACACTCTAATCCTGGAGCTTACTGAGAAGGACATCCTAGACCAGTAACTTTAAAAAATTTTTAAAGTTGGCCGGGTGCGGTGGCTCAAGCCTGTAATCCCAGCACTTTGGGAGGCCAAGGCGGGTGGATCACGAGGTCAAGAGATCGAGACCATCCTGGTCAACATGGTGAAACACCGTCTCTACTAAAGATACAAAAAATTAGCTGGGCATGGTGGCGCGTGCCTGTAATCCCAGCTACTCAGGAGGCTGAGGCAGGAGAATTGCCTGAACCCAGGAGGCGGAGGTTGCGGTGAGCCGAGATAGAGCCATTGTACTCCGGCCTGGGTAACAAGAGTGAAACTCCATCTCAAAAAAAAAAAAAAAAAAAAAAAAAAAAAAAAAAAAAAATTTAAAGTTAGGTTCTCATGAAACCAAATTTTTTAAAAAAAAGAAAGAAAAAGAAAAAAGTTTTAAAGTTATTCACTGACTAATCTGTGCCAAATACCTTTCACGATACCTGCATAATCCTCACAACCATCCTATAAGGCAGATGGCGTTATTCCTTTTTTATAGATGAGGAACAGGTATAGAATCCCAGATCATAATACTAGTAAATGGAATAGTTGGGATTTAAGCTAAGACATTATATATATATATATATATATACACATATATATGTATATATTTTTTTTGGGGGGGGATGGGGTTTCACCATGTTGGCCAGGCTGGTCTTGAACTCCTGGCCTGAGGTGATCCACCCACCTCGGCCTCCTAAAGTGCTAGGATTACAGGCATGAGCCACCGCACCTGGCAAGATCTATATTTTTACAAAGTCTGTGCTCTTTCTCTCTCCTCTCCATGTATGTATGTATGTATGTGTGTGTTTATATGTAAATAGCTATATACATACATATATGTATATATGTGCTCTTAAGATATGTATATGCATGCTCTTAATATGTGTATATATTATGCTTTCAATATATATACCATATATGCGTATATACACAAATATATACATATATACATCACATATATATACACAATCTTACTATACATAAATCCAAATAGGTACATTGGGAGAGAGGGAGGGAGGTAAACAGATAGGTAGGTATTTCTTTTTTCTATGTTGTCATCACACTCCCCATGAGTAACTGACTAAATCACTTAAACCTGATATCTCATCTGTAAAATGGGATATAAAAATAATTGTTCCTACCTTACACAACTGTTGAAAGATTTGATGGGAAAATGCATGTTAGGTACTCAAATAGTGCCATGCTCATGACCTGATAGCTATTGTTTTATTAACTATATTTAATTACTTGCCCAGCAAGTTGTCTGTTGCCTTGCTTTGGTTTTAGAAAGAAATTTTTATCTGTCTTTTTTGGCATCAGACACTTGTTCAGAGTTCTGGTCTGAGTAATGTAATTTTATTTTTAATTTAATTTAATTTATTTAATAGAGACAAGTTCTCACTATGTGACCCTGGCTAGTCTCAAGCTCCTGGCCTCAAGCAATCCTCCCACCTTGGCCTCCCAAAGGACTGGGATTACAGGTGTGAGCCACTACGCTCTGCCATAATGCATTTTTAGACTCCAAGTTCCAATAAGTCTGTCCTTGGTAGGAAATGTGTTTGGAGGAAGTCTTAATAAGAACTATTCTAGGCCAGGCGCGGTGGCTCACGCCTGTAATCCCAGCACTTTGGGAGGCCGAGGCGGACGGATCACGAGGTCAAGAGATTGAGACCATCCTGGTCAACATGGTGAAACCCCATCTCTACTAAAAATACAAAAATTAGCTGGGCATGGTGGCGCGTGCCTGTAATCCCAGCTGCTTGGAAGGCTGAGGCAGGAGAATTGCCTGAACCCAGGAGGCGGAGGTTGCGGTGAGCTGAGATTGCACCATTGCATTCCAGCCTGGGTAACAAAAGCGAAACTCTGTCTCAAAAAAAAAAAAAAAGAAAGAACTCTTCTTTATTTAATAATGGTAGGAGAGGCTTATTGTCATTTGCACATACTTTGTTCTCTCAAAACCCTTTCTTTCCATGTGACACCAACACAGCACAGAGTGCACAGATTACTATGATACCCTTCCAGTTAAGGAGGCTGATGGGAACCAGCCCCATTTTCAGGGAGTCACTGGCCTGAGGAACTTGGGCAACACATGCTACATGAATGCCATCTTTTGGTGTCTCTGCAGCATCTCACCACTGGTGGAATACTTCCTCTCTGGAAAGTACATCACTGCTCTTCAAAAGTAAGACCATCTGCATTCCCTGCAGCCCAGCCCTAAACCCACTTACAGGTGAGGTTAGAGAAGAAACTCTGGAATCTCCATTAAGGGCTAAACAAGTGAGTAGAAGTTGTATCTTCCCAGGGAACATGCTAGGGTAAGTAAAAGTGTGAAGGGCAACCAAGAAATGAATGCAGCCTCCCACTTTTTTTTTTTTTTTTTTTTTTTTTTTTTTTTTTTTTTTTTTTTTGAAACAGGGTCTCATTCTGTTACCCAGGCTGGAGTGCAGTGGTGTAATCTCAGATTCCTGCAACCTCTGCTCCTCGGGTTCAAGCCACTCTCCTGCCTCAGCCTCCTGAGTAGCTGGGATTACAGGCACATGCCATCATGCTCGGCTAACTTTTTTTTGTATTTTAGTAGAGACGAGGTTTCACCATGTTGGCCAGGCTGCTCTTGAACTCCTGATCTCAGGTGATCCCTGCCCCCATCCCAACCCACCACCTCGGCCCCCCAAAGTGCTGGCATTACAGGTGTTAGTCACTAAGGCTGGTCCTCCTTTTTTTTTTTTTTTTTTTTTTTTTGAGATGAAGTCCCTCTCTGTCACCCAGGCTGGAGTGCAATGGCAATCAATTTTGGCTCACTGCAACCTCTGACTCCTGGGTTTAAGCAATTCTCTTGCTCAGCCTCTTGAGTAGCTGGGATTACAGGTGACTGCCACAACACCCGGCCATTTTTTTTATATTTTTAGTAGAGACGGGGTTTCTCCATGTTAGCCAGGCTGGTCTTGAACAATTGACCTCAGGTGATCCGCCCGCCTCGGCCTCCCAAAGTGCTGGGATTACAGGTGTGAGCCACATCACCTGGCCCTTTTTTTTCTTTTAAACAGAGTCTTGTTCTGTCACCCAGGCTGGAGTGAAGTAGTGGTATTATCACAGCTCACTGCAACCTCAACCTTCTGGGCGCTCAAGCAATCCTCCTGCACTGGCCTCCCCAAGTGCTGGGGTTACAGGTGTGAGATACCACACTTTTCCATTTTGATACTAACTTCCCAGGCTTGGGTGATTAGATGCCGTCTTTTCATTAAATTGGCCAGAATCATATCCCTTTCTTCTTCCAAGTGATTGCAGTGAGGTTGCCATGGCTTTTGCCTACCTGATGACAGACATGTGGCTTGGAGACTCAGACTGTGTCTCAACAGAAATATTCTGATCAGCTCTTGGCAACCTCTACCCAAAATTTACGAAAAAGACACAACAAGATGGTCAGGAATTCTTGATTTATGTCCTAAATGAACTTCATGAAGCTTTAGAAAAGGTGAGTAGAATTAACGACCTTAAAATAAGATAGTACAGCACCTTTATCAGCAACTTCCATTTTTCATTCTTTTACTTGTTCAGTTAATATTGTCTACTTTATGCCAAGCATTGTGCTAGATGTTCCATGGAGAACATTCAAGTTAGTATTTGAATGTGTAGCTGTAGCTACCAAACTTACTTGTCATAGAACCACTTGGGAAGATTTTATAACACAGATTCTAAGGCACATACTCCAAGGGTAATGAATTAGAATGTCTTTTGGGAAAGCTTACTTGGCATTTCCAGTGGTCAGTCAGGTGTGGGAAACACTCAACTACTTTTCTTTGTAAAGAAAGGCTGCATGGACTAGTTTTCTTTTTGTTTTGTTTTGCTTTGTTGTGTTTTGAGATGGTGTCTCGCTCCATGGCCCAGGCTGGAGTACAGTGGCATGATATCGGCTCACAGCAACCTCTGCCCCTGGGTTCAAGCAGTTCTGCCTCAGCCTGAGAGGCAGAACTGAGAGAGAGAGAGTGAGCTGAGATTACAGGCTACTGCCACCATGCCCGGCTAATTTTTGTATTTTTAATAGAGACGCAGTTTCACCATGTTGGTCAGACTGGTCTCAAACTCCTGACCTCGTGATCTGCCCACCTCGGCCTCCCAAAGTGCTGGGATTACAGGCGTGAGCCACCGTACCTGGACTGGACTAGTTTTTAAAAGTGCAAAATATATTCCTCATGAGAAATAACATGGATTTGTAGGTCCCAAGAAAATTTAAGCTAAATAACATATAGAATCACATTCTTAGCAAATCCATGAAAATATTAAGCTTGATATTAGATTAAGCAACAAATCTAAGCCCTGCAAAGTTTCATCCGCAAACCAAACATGCCTAACCCGAGTTCATCACTGAATTAGTATATACACTTCATTAAACATGAAATCATCAGTTACTCTAGAGGTTTTGCCTTTATTTACAAAACTCACTGCACTTAACCTTGGTCTGAGACCCACATTCTCTGAAATGTGTCCTTGACTTTATGCAATGTTCTTCTGCTAATGTTACCTCATTGCACCTCTAATATCCAGGTAATGGTTAGCATAAAGATTGCAAACTATAGCTATTAATTGTTCTCATTTGCAGGCTTCAGTTCTGTTTTTCATTTTGAGTAAAAAAAAAGATATCATAAAAAAGTATTCATGGGCCATGCGAAGTGGCTCATGCCTGTAATCCCAACACTTGGGGGGCCAAGGCGGGTGGATCACAAGGTCAGTAGTTCACGACCAGCCTGGGCAACATAGTGAAACCCCGTCTCTACTAAAAATACAAAAAAGAAAAAAATTAGCCAGGAGCTGTGGCAGGTGCCTAGAGTCCTAGCTACTTGGGAGGCTGAGGCAGGAGAATACCTTGAACCCAGGAGGTGGAGGTTGCAGTGAGCCAAGATCTGTGGAGCTAATGCATCTTGAACATGTATCTTCTACTGCGGTTCTTAAATAACTGAAAATTCAGGGTGTGCCCCAGAAATGCTGTTGCTGACTATGAGCTAGATCCAAACCAGGCCACAAGTTTAGTTCAATCAGGCTGCCTTAGGAATTTAAGATTTGCGGTCTTATCCTTTATCTTTTCTTTAAAAAATTAACCCTGTAGAGACTGGATTTCACTGTTACCAAATCTGATCTCAAACTCCTAGTCTCAAGTGATCCTCCTGCCTCAGCCTCCCAAAGCACCAGGATTACAGGCATGAGCCACCATGCCTGGCCAAGATTTACTCTTTTAAAAAAGTATTTTCTAGAAGTTAAAGGATAAAAGGCTACAGAATGTAACCTGAAGGGACTGGAGAGAGAAAAGATTGGATTTCTTAATATTTTACCTTTAGATGTGCTTGAGTGATGTAACACTAATTTGACTTGCTTACCCCGTTCCCAGGAAAAACTGGCTCCCAAGGCTGTAGCTTATGGGGTCATGAATGTATGTTTTATCAGAGTTGGGCTGTCATCATTCCTCTGTTTCACCTAAAGGGAAAATATCTGAATTATCAGAAATCACACATGATAGATATATTATACTTTCAAGAATATCTTACTCTATTGTCTGAATCTAAAACTTAAGTGGTTTCTGTTAGCAATGTATTATTCTGATAGAAAAAAATAATTATTTTATTGAAAACTTTTTTTTTTTTTTTTAAACATGATCTCCCTCTGCCATCCAGGCTGGAGTGCAGTGGCGCTAACACAGTTCACTGCAGCCTCAAACTCCTGGGTTCAACTTATCCTCCAACCTCAGCCTCCCAAGTAGCTGGCACCACAGACATGTGCCACTACGCCTGGCTAATGTTTTGGTTTTTATTTTAGAGATGAGTTTCACCATGTTGCCACAACCTTTTTAAAATAACCAATAATTGATTTGGGTGAAATTTGCTCTTTGATTCAGTACTGTTATCCCTGGAGAAGATCATATGAGAAAGGACCTACTCAGAGATACTGCAGGAATCAATTACCACTGAGACATCCATCATCACCCGGCTGTTTGAAGGGCAGCTCAGTTACTGCATCGTATGTTTAAAGTGTGAGAAACGCACCTACAAGAACGAAGTTTTCACTCTCCTCTCACTCCCCATTCCATCCGAATATGAATGCTCCCTTCAGGTAGGAATTCGGGATCCCTGGACACTTTGTCTTGTTATGCTCTCAGCCCTGGGTTTTCTCAGGGTGGTTTACTATATTTGTTTAGTATGAGAGATGGCTTTATAACTTTAATTTTAAAAGAAATAGGCTGGACGTGATGGCTTATGATGGCTCATGCCTGTAATCCCAGCACTTTGGGAGGCCAAGGCAGGCAGATCACCTGAGGTCAGGAGTTCAAGACCACCCTGGCCAACAAGGTGAAACTCTGTCTCTACTAAAAATACAAAAATTAGTTGGGCATGGTGGCAGGTACCTGTAATCCCAGCTACTTGGGAGACTGAGGCACAAGAATCGCTTGAACCCGGGAGGCAGAGGTTATAGTAAGCCAAGATCATACCATTGCTCTTCAGTCTGGGTAACAGAGTGAGTCTCTGTCCTAAATAAATAAATAAATAAATAAATGAAATAAAGAGGAAGTCCATGATGATGGTATTTTTTTTAAGGGATATACTGGCCAAAAGTTACTATGAATTCAATCATATTTTTAAACGCACTCAACAAAATACCTGATTATAAAACTGGAAATATAGTGGGATTTACTCAGTCTATTGAAATAGCTTTGTGCATATACAAAATTTACAATTTTTTCCAAAAAGTTTGTGACCTTCCCTCACCCCAGAGGGGTCTGTAAGGCCCAGACTGGGAACTAGCTATAAAACATTCTAGACTCAGGCCAGGCACAGTGGCTTATGCCCATAATCCCAGTACTTTGGGGGGCCAAGGCAGGTGGATCACGAGGTCAAGAGATCAAGACCATCCTGGCCAACATGGTGAAACCCCATCTCTACTAAAAATACAAAAAGTAGCTGAGCATGGTGTCACGTGCCTGTAGTCCCAGCTACTCGGGAGGCTGAGGCAGGAGAATTGCTTGAACCCAGGAAGGGAAGGTTGCAGTGAGCTGAGATTGCACATTGCACTCCTGCCTGGGTAACAGAGCAAGACTGGCTCCCATCTCAAAAAAAAAAAAAAAAAAAAAAAAAAAAAAAATCTAGACTCTTAGTCTTGAGCTCTTATATTTTGGACTAAAGCTATGAAATGTTTTGGAAAGAGAGAATGGAATCTAGTGCCTTGGTTTACCTCTCGAATTTTCTTCACCATAATGCCAAAAGTTCATCTGTAGGTGGGGATGTGGGCGTGGGGTGGGTGGCAGCAGAAGGCAGGCAGCAATAAGGAGTAAACAAGGGGCAGACACCAAAAAAGTTTTCTTGCAGAATTATACAAATGTCTATTTTTTCTTCCTAAATTATGATAGCACATCTATTGCTGAAAGTTTCACTTACCAGAATTGGAGAATAGAATCCTATTACTTATTCAGCACTGGGCTTTATTTCTCAGCTCAAACTGCTAAAGATTGCTGGAAAGAAATTCCAAATACTCTTAAGTAAAGTGCTAATGGGTCCGCTGCAAACAAAATCTGTGCTCATCTTCTTCTTCCAGTTAATCGTTTGCAGAACCAAACACCTAGCCACATTGGGGATATCTCCTGTGTATATCGGATCTAATTTATCTCTGTTCTGCTGTCTTTATTATGGGCCACCCGCAAACCCTGAGAGTCATTTTTGTCACCAGATCACTTTAGCAATGATATGAATGTCATAAAACAGCTGCCTGATTTCACTGGTGAAAATTGCAAAGTCAGTAGTGTTCTGAAAAAAACAGAAAAGTTAAAATGCTGATTTATAGCCTGGGCATAGTGGCTCACACCTGTAATCCTAGCGCTTTGGGAGGCTGAGGCGGGCAGAATCACTGGGGGCCAGGAGTTTGAGACCAGCCTAACCAACATGGCGAAACCCCATCTCTACTAAAAATATAAAAATGAGCTGGGTGTGGTGGTGCTCACCTGTAGTCCCAACTTCTCAGGAGGCTGAGTCAGGAGAATCACTTGAACTGGTAGGTGGAGATTGCAGTGAGCCAAGATTGTGCCACTACACTCCAGCCGGGGTGACAGAGCGAGACTCCATCTCAAAAAAAAAAAAAAAAAAAAAAAAATGCTGATGTATAGATTATAAGTGAGGTAGGCACTCAACTGCGTTTCAGTAATAGAAAGAAACACTTTCTAGGTGGACTTATGGGTAACCAGCTCCAGCTAGTGAGACTGTTATCTTCTGGACTTGTTGACTTTGAGAAAAGCACTGAGGATTACTCCACAGCATTTGCAAAGTTCCAATAGAAACAGAGAGTGCAGGCTGTGGTTGATCCAGTTTGGTTACCAAATCCTTTTTTTCCGTAACAGGACTGTCTCCAGTGTTTTTTTCAACAAGACACACTAACCTGGAACAACCAAATTCACTGTTCCTTTTGTGAAACCAAGCAAGAAACCGCTGTGAGGGCCAGTATTTCCAAAGCACCAAAAATAATTGTTTTTCACCTAAAAAGGTATGGATTTTTTTAGCTTTGTGCAGTGGCAGTATCGTAGCCAATGAGGTTTATCTGAGGTGCAATTATTGTTAATTGAAAACTTTTCCGCCGGGCGCGGTGGCTCAAGCCTGTAATCCCAGCACTTTGGGAGGCCGAGGCGGGTGGATCACGAGGTCAAGAGATCAAGACCATCCTGGTCAACATGGTGAAACCCCGTCTCTACTAAAGGTGCAAAAAATTAGCTGGGCATGGTGGCGCGTGCCTGTAATCCCAGCTACTCCGGAGGCTGAGGCAGGAGAATTGCCTGAACCCAGGAGGCGGAGGTTGCGGTGAGCCGAGATCGCGCCATTGCACTCCAGCCTGGGTAGCAAGAGCGAAACTCCGTCTCAAAAAAAAAAAAAAAAAAAAAAAAAGAAAGAAAACTTTTCCTAATACTCCACTGTGACAACGTGTGCAATACAGTCAGCATTGGCGATTTTTGACCATCTCTACAGAGACGAATAATTTAAAAAAAATAATAAAAATAAAAAATAAAGGTATGGATTTTTACATTTTGTGGGCACATGTTTTTGAACAGCCTTATAGAGACATAATTCACATGCCAATAATTCACCCATTTAGAGTGTACAATTCAATAATACTTGGTATATTACATTATTATTTAAAATTATGATAAATATATACAGTATAACAAAAAGTTTGCCATTTTAGCAATTCTAAGCATACAATTCATTGGCATTAGTTATTCACAATGTTGTGCAACAATCATCATGATTTCCAGAACTTCTTCATCACCCAAACAGAAACTCTGTAACCTTTAGTAACACACATTCCTGCTCCACCTGGCCCCTGGTAAGACACTTTGGTAAAGGTCTGTCAAGGTCTTTGGCCTATTTTAAAAATTGTGTTGTAGATTTTCTAATTGTTGAGTTTTATAAGATTTCTTGTATATTTTCTTTTCTTTCTTTTCTTTTTTTCTTTTTCTTTTTTTTTTTTTAAACAGAGTCTCACTTTATTGCTGAGGCTGGAGTGCAGTGGTACAATCTCGGCTCTTGCAGCCTCTGCTTCCCTGGTTTGAGCCATTCTCTTGCCTCAGCCTCCTGAGTAACTGGGACTACAGGCGCCTGCCACTACACCCAGCTAATGTTTTTTCTTTCTTTCTTTTCTTTTCTTTTTTTTTTTCTTTTTTTTTTTTTTTTGTAGAGACAAGTTTTCACCATGCTGCCCAGGCTGGTCTGAAACTCCTGAGTTCAGGTGATCCGCTTCCCTCAGTCTCCCAAAGTGCTTGGATTATAAGCATGAGACACTGTGCCTGGCCAGATTTCTTGCATTTTCAATAGCAGTTCTTTACTAGACGTGTCTTTTTTTTTTTTCTGTCCATGCTTGTTTTTTTATTCTCTCAACAGTGTTTTGTACAACAGGAAATTTTGACTTTAATGAAGTTAAGCTTATCAATTCTTTTGTAAAGTAGGCTTTCGTGTTGTATCTAAAAGTCATGGCCAAACATAAGATCATCTAGATTTTCTCCAGTGTTATCTTCCAGGAGTTTTGCAGTTTTTTGTTCTACATTTTGGTCTGTGATCCATTTTGAGTTAATTTTTGTGAAGGGTGTAAGATTTGTCCATGTGTGGATTTTTTTTTCACATAGATATCCACTTGTCCCAACACCATTTGTTGAAAAAGGTTATCTTTTCTCCATTGTATATTACCTTTGCTCCTTTGTCAAAGATCGGCTGATTATATCTATGTGAGTCTATTTCTGAGCTCTCGAGTCTATAACATTATTTTTCTATTTTGTTTTCACCAGTACCGCACTGTCTTGACTATTCTGGTTGTAAAATAAGTTCTGAAGTTTGGTAACGTCAGTCCGATTGTGTTTTCCTTCAGTATAGTTTTGGCTACTCCGAATCTTTTACCTCACCACATAAACTTTAGAATCATTCTGTCAATATCCACAAAATAAGTGGCTGGGATTTTGACTGGGGTTGCATTGTATTTACAGATCAAGTTGGGAAGAACTAACAACTGGACAATATGGAGGCTTCTTATCTGTGAATATAGACTTTATCTCTCTGTTTAGATTCTTCTCGGATTGCTTTCATGAGAATTTTCTAGTTTTACTCCCATAGGTCTTGTACATAGTTTGTTAATTTTATAACTATCTCATTTTCGAGGGTGCTAATGTGAATGGTATTGTGTTTTTTAAAACTAATTTTAGGCCGGGTGCGGAGGCTCAAGCCTGTAATCCCAGCACTTTGGGAGGCCGAGGCGGGTGGATCACGAGGTCAAGAGATCGAGACCATCCTGGTCAACATGGTGAAACCCCGTCTCTACCAAAAATACAAAAAATTAGCTGGGCATGGTGGCGCGTGCCTGTAATCCCAGCTACTCAGGAGGCTGAGGCAGGAGAATTGCCTGAGCCCAGGAGGCGGAGGTTGCGGTGAGCCGAGATCGCACCATTGCACTCCAGCCTGGGTAACAAGAGCGAAACTCCGTCTCAAAAAAAGAAAAAAAAAAAAAACACTAATTTTAATTTCTTTTTTTTTTTTTTTGAGATGGAGTCTTGCTCTGTCACCCAGGCTGGAGTGCAGTGGCACAATCTCAGCTCACCGCAACCTCTGCCTCCCAAGTTTAAGCAATTCTCCTGCCTCAGCCTCCTGAGTAGCTAGGAGTACAGGCATGCACCACCCCACCCAATTAATTTTTGTATTTTTAGTAGAGGCGGGGTTTCATCATGTTACCCAGGCTGATCTCAAACTCCTCACCTCAGGTGATCTGCCCGCCTCAGCCTTCCTAAGTGCTGGCATTACAGGCATGAGCCACTGTGCCCAGCCATGTTTTTAATTTCAAATTCCATTTGTTTAAAGCTGATGAGTAATATACTTTCTCAATATTAATCTTGTATTCTACAATCTTGCTTTAATTGTTATTTCCAGACTTTTTTGTTGATTCCTTCAGATTTTCAGCATACACATTCGTGTCATCTGTAGACAAAGACAGTTTTACTTCTTACTTGCCAATCTGTATACCTTTTATTTTCTTGTCTTATTTTAGCTAGGACTTCTAATACAATGTTGAAAAGTAGTGGTGAGAGGGGACATCCTTGTCTTCTTCCTGATTGTAGTGGGAAAGCTTCTACTGACTCACCATTAAGTATGATCTTAGCTGTGGATTGTTTGTAGACATTCTTTATTAAGTTGAAGAAGTTCTCCTTTATTCTTAGTTTACTTAGTATTTTTATCTTGATGGGTGTTGGATTTTCTCAGACACTTTTTCTGTGTCTGTTGATTTGTATGTGTGATTTTTTTTCCCCTTTAACCTAATTATATGATAGATTTCATTAATTTTTCCAATGTGGTCTGAGAGCAGAGATTATATACTTTCTATTATTGTAAATTTGTTAAAGTGTGTTTTAACAAGCACACCTTAGGCCAGAAGGTCTAAGTTATTCTTATTTAGCCTAGCTAGAGGCTTGGTGAATGTTCCATGTGAGTTTGAAAATAATATATAGTCTGCCGTTGTTGGGTGAAAGAATCTATAGATGTCAGTTATTTCCATGGACAGATGGTGTTGTTGAGTTTATGTCCTTACTAATATTCTGCCTGCTGGATCTGCCCATTTCTGACTGAGGTGTGTTGATGTCTCCAACTATAAAAGTGGATTCATCTATTTCTCCTTGCAGTTCTATCAATTTTTCCCTTTTTTTGTTTGTTTTTGGTGAGACAGAGTTTTGCTCTGTCACCCAGGCTGGAGTGCAGTCCTGCAGTCTTGGCTCACTGCAGCCTCTGCCTCCTGGGTTCAAGCAATTCTTGTGTCTCAGCCTCCCGAGTAGCTGGGACTACAGGTGAGCAGAACCACACCTGGCTAATTTTTGTATTTTTAGTAGAGACAGAGTTTCGCCATGTTGGTTAGGCTGGGCTTGAAGTCCTAATCTCAAGTGACCTGCCCGCCTCGGCAGGGATTACAGGCATGAGCCACTAAGCCTAGCCAGTTTTACCTCATGTATTTTGACACTGTGTTGTTAGGTGCATACACATTAAGAATTTCTGTGTCTTCTTGAAAAATTGATCCCTTTATCATTATGTATGGCCCTTTTTATCCTCAATCACGTTATTTGCTTTGAAGACTGCTCTGTCTGAAATTAGTATAGCTACTCCCACTTTCTTAGTGGTTGGATGGTATATTTTTCTCCATCTGTTTACTTTTAGTCTCTGTGTGTGTTTATATTTTCAGTATATTTCTCGTACATAATATATAATTGAGTTTTGTTTTTGATTCACTGTGACAATCTGTCCTTTAATTAATGTGTATAGACCATTGACATTCCAACTGATTATTGATGCTGTTGGGTTAAGTATCTGTCGTATTTGCTACTGCTTTCTATTTGTTGTCCTTGTACTTTGTGTTTCTGTTTTTATCTACCAATATTTTCCTGCTTTTTGTGGTTTTAACTGAGCATCTTATGAGACTCCATTTTCTCTCCTTTATTACCATATCAGTTATACCTTTTTAAAACATTTTTTAGATGCTGGGCACAGTGGCTCATGCCCATAATCCCAGTACTTTGGGAGGCCGAGGTGGGCGGATCAACTGAGGTCGGGAGTTCAAAACCAGCCTGACCAACATGGAGAAACTCCATCTCTACTAAAAATACAAAATTAACCAGGTGTGGTGGTGCATGTGTAATCCCAGCTACTCAAGAGGATGAGGTAGGAGAATTGCTTGAACCCAGGAGGTGGAGGTTGCAGTGAGCCGAGATCTCGCCATTGGACTCCAGCCTGGGCAACAAGAGAGAAACTCTGTCTCAAAAAAAAAAAATTTTTTTTTTTAGTGATCGCCCTAGAGTTTGCAATATGCATTTACAACTAATCTATGTCCACTTTCAAATAACACCATACTGCTTCTCTTGTATCATTGCTGTTATTCATTTCACTTATATATAAAGATATACAATAATATATATGATATATACATAAAGATATGTAATTGAATATATTGTTGCTATTATTGTTTTGAGT